AAAAAAAAAAAGCAAGATCATGACTAAAACAATTGAAAATAGAGCCCCAGAAAATAATTCCAAATCGAAGATAAAAAAGGAAAAAAAGAATGAAAAAAGGACAATAATTTGACTTCAATGGAAATATGTCCAGAAAGCAAAACTTGGCACCTTCAATTCATTAGGCGACATATTAAGTATTTGAGCAGGTTCCAACTCCTTATTCAGAAGGCGCCTTGCTAATACACCATTGCTCTACAATAACCAACAAATTCAACAAAGAATTCAAAAGTTACAGACAGAACTAAAGATAAAAAATGCACTGGGAAAATAGAATACATCCAACAAATGTAAGAGAAAATCACTTAACAAAGCAAGTGATGCAAGACAAGCATTCATGCTTTGCAATCACTGATACCAATTTACTACAACCTCGTTGCATAAGATATCCAACAAACAGTTACACATGTGAGACAAAATCATAAGAAAAAGTTAAAAACCCAACAACTGCACGACCTTAAGGTTGAACGCTAATTGCCGCATCTTTTGATTATACTTCTGAAAATCAGCAGAAAAGGCCTCATGAGCTGCTTTCTCAAGAGCAGCCACAGCATGAGCAGCTGTATTCGGCCAGTCAGCTGATGTATCGGCCTGAAAAACTCACGTTGTAAAGAAAGTATTCTACAGCAAAAATGTACTTTAGCAAGTGTTCAAAACCTCTGGGAAGGAAAAGAAAGCATCTAATAGAACCTTATCATGAGACTTATCGTCTGAACTGCTGATCTTGTTTCCATTCTGCTGTCTCTCATCTTTCTGCTTACCATCAGCAGTGCAAACACATTGAATGGATTCAAAAAGCTTCTCCAACCGCTTGTCGCGCTGTGTTTCCCCAGTCAGCAGCTTAAGATTAGACAGGATCAAAGAGTATTCCGAACTGGTCTCACAAGCGCTCCCAGGTGTTTGTGCTTTAAGCGACTGGGGTATACTAAGTTCTCCATCCACCCTGGTAACATCCAGAGGCGACACCTTCCTCTTCCTTATAAGTCGTTTACTTTTTAGTTCATCTTCATGCTCCACAGTAGCACCCTCAGGCTCAAGGTCGGGAAGGTCCCCAATTCGTGCCACAGTTTTCTGCACAAGAAGGTCAATCTCATGCTGTTTATTGTCCTCATAATCTTTGTCAGTTAACTTGAAGAGCCTCCTCTCGTCAGTGTCATACACTTTTTGCACGATGAACCCAGGATGTTGCTTGCGGTGTGGAATCTGCTTATCTTGAGGTATGAAGTGTATCACACACTTGTGCATGACTGATTCTGCCGGTACCTCATCTCTGTGGAAACTATAGAACAGTTCCCTTGTGTCACTCGATTGCCAATTTCCACCTCCTTTCTTCTCTGCTTCTTCAGGACGATAGAACCACTGTCCCGTAACCATAAGAGCACCTTCTCGTGTTTTGGCAATATCCTATAGCGAAATAAGAACTCTATAACACTTCTTGCAATGACGGCTTATATCATGAACAATGCATCTAGGTAGCCAAATGTTTGCAGTGCAAACTATCATCAACTTATAGGAGCCAATAAGGAACAACATGAGAGTAAGTACAACTCTAATGTGTACACGAAAGTATGGTTTTACATATATAATAATAAGAAGCAACCATCTGTGGAGTATCACTAGCTCATTCTTAGGACGCGTCGAATGTCTAGAAGGAACCTATCACGACTCATGATCTCTTCAAAAGTAAGAATGTTTTCTCTTTTACAAACTGAACGCATTAATAACGTCCAAAAGAATCACACTCATAATCAGGACAAAAAACAAATCATTGAACTTTACTTAAGACTTAACTAAACTCGAGGAACTAAAGCATTTGAGAGGAGAGATTACCTTAACTATGGCTATATATGGCTTCTGATTCCCATTCTCAGGAACTAAAAGCACTGGATCCTCCTGAGATAAAAATCACTTGAAAAGTTTTGAGCTTTATCAGAAGAAAAGTTATTAACGGAAGGGCAATACCTTACGTTCCACGGTGACATCCAACATAATAACAACTTACAAGGGCATAAGATAATCTACCATACATATTATCCTAAATGATTCTAGAAATAAACAGATCAATGGCTATTAGTCTTACCAATAGTGTTTTTCCAATCGACATTAGACATCGCAAAGATTTAAAAGATTAAAATCATATTCAAACTACAATACTTATCGCAACCAATCGACAATTAAAGACAATCAGCTATCAAACGCCACTATGCTGGAGAAATAAAAATTAGTATCTAAAAGCAAAAACGAAAAGCTTAAGTCTCTCTTCCATATCATTAAAGCAGACAAATGCACAACAATGTCAAATAAAGCTAGAACCTCCAGCAAATAAACAAATAGAAGAGCTAAAATACAAAACACCAACGAGGCCAAAGTCAAATCCCAATAGCACAGTATTCCCTCTAAAAGGGCATATAAGCATACTACTGGAAAGCCCATAACCATCCACAACACATCAAGACAGCCGAATAGAAAACTCTCACCAAGTCATATTGAAGACCATCGTACTCAAAGGACGCGTAATGACTCCGCCTCCCTCTCCCCTTGCCCGAAACCCTAACCACGCCACCCACCGGCAGCGCTTCCAAATCCTCCGGCTCCTCATTTTCACTTCCGGGCTCGGGATCGGGCTCGGGCTCGTCCCTCTTCTTCTTCTTCTTCTCCGTCTGCTCACTCAATTTTACTTCGCCGATATCCCTATCATCGTCCTCCTCCTCCTCGTCGGGGAGATGCACCTTCTTACGCTTCCTTTGGCTTCTGTTCACATCGCCGTTTGAGTTGCGAGCGGGCGGCGAGTTATCCTCATCGTCGCTGGAAGGCACGAACCGACGGTTCCCCATTATCGCCCAGTCACGCCCGACGCGTAAGATGCAGAGGTTCGTGGTACGGAATTTTGGTTAACAAGCCCAAGCCAAACGCGCCAAAAAGTAATTGGTAGGCATAGCCCCACCCGCCCGGAAACTGACTCGGTCAAACTGATTTACATAAGATGGATTTCATATCCAACTTACCTCTCACTAACTGCTTCACATAAGCAGTACAACCCCATACTTTTAAATACTTGTACGAGGGTGTTTTGCCACACCATATCTCATAAGGTGTGCTGGGTACAGCTTTACATGGCACTCTATTCAAAATATGTGCTGTTGTTTCTAAGGTATAGCCCCAGAATGAAAGAGGTAAACTAGTGGAACTCATCATTGATCGAACCATGT